GAGAGAGAGAGTTGAGGTCGATAGACGCGGATTTGCTGTTTCTTTATCTCTTCCCCCTCTTCATCTGTGTACATATATTTTGATTGCGGCTCCGGGCGGTTTGCCCGTTCTTATTTTCGTTTCGGCTTCCTGAAATCTGGGTTTGAGTTCTTGCTCACACTTGTCTTTGCGATGTCCGTCCCGATTGCATTATGTATATGATTGTCGGATGTATGGATGTAAGGGTGTTATGTCTGCTTGTCTATATCTTTGCTGAGAATCCCRGTCCTTGCCTTTTGTTTGTRGCRAATCTTTGCTCACACCGGATGCAGCTGCAGGTGGGATAGGAACCTGGCCCCGATAACGATTTGTGTTCTCGTTTTTGCTTGTCTCACGATGAGGGTTRWGATATGGTTGCATCTTGCATAATCCGAAGCAATTAGACGATCCAAAGCTTGGCCTTGCAAACGCCGCGCGAAAACATGTGTAAACGCGATCCGAGTCGCGCCCTTACACGCATTCCCGTGCGACGATTCGCCCACCCAAGAGGGATTCGCTGCGGAACCATCATCCAGCACGAGCACGCCGAGGCACCATTGAGTGCCTGCCCTGCACGTGCTCGCGCGCGGTGATGATATCCCGACCCGAGTTATCCCATCGACGATGATACCATGACGCGATCTTGGAGCTCAGACTCATCCTACGACCCGGACTATTTCACCTCGTGGATAAACGAGCTCATAAGGACGCGATACCCCTGTCACACGGAAAATCGACTATGTCCGCGGGAATTCCACTGCGCCACCTCTAGCGACCCTCGGTGCTCTGATTTTCCTTCCCCCGACCACACCTACTACTTCACCCACCCGGGATTTGTTGTCGCCACCACCAGTTTCCCTCCTTTCCGCCTTCTCCTCCCGTATCATCAGCTTAGTGTCGTTCCGTGGCCGGCCATAGCCCCCTATTGGCCCAGTACGTTTTGCGTTAACTGCCGACGTAGCGGAGAACAGAGAACTCCGGAATTTCGAAGGCCCAACCCAGGTACGCGGCGGCCTACGCCACGTGGCGGTCCCCGACGGCCTAACTTTTCAGGACCACCTCCACCGCGGAGGGATTTCCCCGTAAATCGTCGCCCACAGTGCCCCGGCCCCTCCGGGCCGTAAGACCCTTGTGCGCGCGCCCCTCATTCGCCGAATTGCATTCATACCCCTAAGACTCCCCCACTTTCCCAAAAATCCTTGGCACACCCCTTTTCGCACTTCCAGGCCCACATCCTACTCCGATCAGGAAGTCGCGTCGGGCGTGAGGTTGGGCGTCACATAGTGTGGCGTCGAAGATGTAACACTATGTATGCTCCGTGTATCAAGATGTACAGACAACACTGCGTGTGGAAACTTATGTATGTAGCCCGTAGGCCATGTATAATTCGCAAGCTATGTATATGCCCAAAGGCTATGTGTGCTCTGTGAATCAATGTATCGAGATGTATAGGCAGCATCATGTGTGTATATCAAAGAGAGAACGGGGTAAGCTGGACAATATCCTGCCTGTACTTTCCACTCAGTTAACCCTTATCCTTCCCTCTCCAGCAGGCCCTTCCACTCGGAATAGCACCTTCGGACATCACTCCCCCTTTGGCTTAATCCACTCTCCCTTCTCCACTGTCCTCTTTCTTCGCTGGTCTACCCACCATGATAGGATCACCTCCTGTACCTCCCTCAATCTTTTCTCCCTCCAAAACTGCCACGGAAGTTGTTCCACCATTTCTGGTTCCCGTCTTTCAGTCCCTCTTCTGAGGATCCCACAGGTGGCCAACCTTGTACATACCACAGGCCGCCCATTGACACCCGAACGCTCCTCTCCCACCCTGCCACTTAAACTCCTCCCCCCTCTTATTACAGATGAATCCATTGCCAAACAGGACAACAGCAACAACCACAACAACAACCAGAACCACAACCACCTAGGCGCCATAGTCGTGCTCCACGCTGTCGACCTGCACAACAACAACAACAACAACAACAGCAACAACCACAACAACAACCACCAGAAGAAGAAGAAGAAGAAGAAGAAGAAGAAGAAGAAGAAGAAGAAGAAGAAGAAGAAGAAGAAGAACCATCTGGGCACCATAGCCGTGCTCCACGCTGTCGAAGAAGAAGAAAAGGGGCGGAGGCCATACCTGCGTCAGCGGTACTTACCTGGGCGCCACTGCCATGCTCCACGCTGTCGACGTGCACAACAACAACAACAACAACAACAACAACAACAGCAACAACCACAACAACAACCAGAACCACAACCACCTAGGCGCCATAGCCGTGCTCCACGCTGTCTACCTGCACAACAACAACAACAACAACAACAACAACAACAACAACAACAACCAGAAAAGAAGACGAAGAAGACGAAGACGAAGACGAAGAAGAAGAAGAAGAAGAAGAAGAAGAAGAAGAAGAAGTACATATTTTTAAAAAATTTGAATGAATCATAGATTTTTAAGAATATTCTTTTCTTCAATATTCTTTATTTTAAATAGATATATTTTTCATTATGAATCAATTGCCTT